CTGTTCCCTGGCAAAATAAATTTATTTAGTTTTTCTGCTTTCTTTATGTTTCTTTTTGTATGTAAATTATGTGTTATTTAATATGTTTATTGCATATTAGTAATATTCTATAATAAAAAATAAAAAGACATTTTCTCTTCGCAAGTAATATATTATGTAGCAAATAAAAAAATGAAGTCAATGAGCATGGAAGAGTTGAAGCTATTTTATTTATTTTCCCAACTCATGCAATAAGCTCAGAAAACCCATTTTGGCTTTGTATTTTGCCTCTTTGCTTAATTCTTTAAAATCCGGTAGCATACTCAGTAAGAAATTTCTGTCGGGATCATCATCGTCTTTTTCCGTCAATACAGAGGTAGTACTTCTCATGAAATCCAGAATTTCATCTGTTGCATCTTTTTTCCTCTTTTTAGTGCAGACATTGGATGCTGAATCGCCATTTTTTAATGCAGATGTTTTGGAGCCTGTCATAGCAGCTTCTCTGCTAAAATCAACCTTATCTGTCATCATTGACAGACTTTCTAAATCGGTTACACCCCTTTCGTCATCAGAAGGAACAGTGGCACTCAAGTCGAATTCTGAGTCATGTATAGAACTATTGAGGCTTGGCTCCATATTTTCTTCCATCTCCTCATTCCAAGTATCATTAGTGATTGTTCTGCAAAAAAAAAAAAAAAAAAAAAAAAAAAATTGTTTCATTTTACAAATTATTTTACTTTTGTAAAAGGGGAAACAATTCTAAAAGCTTTTAATTTGTAGAAGCAAAAACATTTTCATGTCATTGATAGAAAACACAATGTCACTCTTTGATATGGTATTAGCAACAAGTAAAAATAATTTTAAATAATTTCTGGGTATATCTAGCATTCTGTTAAGTGTCCATGATGGTTAAGCTCAGTGGCTATTCATTACGTTTGACCTGTTAATTCAACATTTAGAAAATGCTTCAAAGTCACATAAAAAGTAAACTTCATTGCTACCTATGTTTCATATTCCCCGAAAAGAGAGTTTTTTAATATGAATATTAATGAAATACTCAGTGAATTTTTAAGAAAAATTTCCTGTTTGATATGTTAGTTATTTCTGTTGTTACAAATTCTGCAATTAGTTACATTATTAATGCAATAAAAACAATGTCATTATATGCATAAAACAGGGTATATCAAATTGTTTTAGTCATACTATGATTATTTTATTATTAATGGGAATAAACTATTAATCTTTCAGTTGAACATGGAAAAAAATGGATATAAAAATATTAAAGATAAATTATGCATTTAATCATTGAATACAATTTGTAAAACAGAGGACCAAAAAGTGAACTTGATAACCGAGTTAAAAGTATTTTTTAGTGAGGGCTCTTATTTTTCAAAAAAAAATTTAATAAAATTTTAACTTGAATTTATGACTTTAAGGATTTCTTTCTCCTTATATTTAGAAATTTAGTTTTGTTTTAGAAATGTGTTAAGATTTAGACAAACAGATGAATCTTTGGTTATATATATTATTTACATGTCATATACATGACATCATGTGTTTGTTAGGCACATGATGAGGAATATAGCTCTTTAGAGGACTTTCTACAGAAAACTGGTCTTGTATTCACATAACATGCGTGCTAAACCAGGCATCGGCAACTTATGGCACACAGTACAGTTCTCAGTGGCACTCTACACCACTCTTAAGAAAGTTATCAGACAAAGATAAATCTTCCTGTATTTACTCTCTGCACTGTCAGGAAAGTTTAGTTGCCAGAATTTCATCACAGTGCTTAATTTTTCTAATGAACACTTTTGTTAAAATAATACATAATAAAACTCTAAATCTTTATTCTCGCCTTCTGTTCCCTAACTCTGCATGTATTGCTGCGTGAATCAAATTGTTTTAAATATTTCCTACTGTACGGCATCATGAATTATATTAGTAAACTGGTTTGGCGCACTACAGCTACAAGGTTCCTACTCCTGGGCTAAACCATGAAAATACCCATGTGGCTAGCGTGTGGTGTGAAGTTTTTTTACTGAAATACTGAAAGGGCTTACATACAAAGAAAAGTATAATCGCCTCCAAATGAACATGTATAGACAGTGGTAATGATAGTGCTTGAGAGATGAAACTTGCTAGTGGTATTTATATATATGTTCTCAGAAATACTGATCACTTTTAGAACTAGTCATCTGAAGTAGATGGTCATTATGACTGGGGAAATTATATTTTGAATATGAAGACCAATGAGTACAATAATGGTTAATATGCTGTAATAATTTATGAAAATTGTATAAACAGAAAAAGTCAGAATGATCATAACATAATAAATAATTAGTTAAAACCATTTTATCTCAAAAACAGCATGAGGTTAGTAAAAGACATTGTATCTAAGTTTGTGTATCATTAATCATTTAAAAATTATATAATAATCCGCTTTTGAACAATGAGTGTACTATTTTATGCTTATACCAATGTGAACATACAGAGTAGATTTATGTTTTGTGAAAATGTATCGTTCCAAAATAAATGGTAGACAAGTAAATTTCTTATCACCTACGAGCAGTAATTAATAGCATGTCTACAACACAACTGCTTTGGGAACAGGTGAAAACAAGTCATTCTTAGTGTAAAGACAATGAAACTCATGCTTTTTACATTTGTATGAAAACCTGAATTTTTATGAATTTAAGCACACTACTGTATACTAGTGATGATCTTATCTGTCCTGCCAGTTTATTTACATTTGAACACAAACTTGAAATAAGGGCTTAATCATCGACATAATACTTTTTAATAACACAGTAAAAACAACCAGTTATAAAAAATGTTATTTTGGCAATCTGATATATAATTCATCGTAAATAAATCCATTTTCAAAAAATTATATGATCTGTCAAGAAGAAGGTTCCTTAAAAAAAAAAACATATACAGTGTTTTAGAAGACATGGAAAGTATAGCTTACTTTCTTGAAATCACAACAGGAAGCCAGAAAAGACATCTGGACAGCAAGAGGCCAAGGTTTTTTTGAACAGAGTTAGCCCCATCTCCACTCTTGGCTGTTTTTTTTTCTCGAATACAATTTTCTTAAATTCTGCCACCTGTACATAATCTCATCAACTGTAATAAATGAATATTAAAAGTTTAAAAGCATTGTCCCAAACTGTTTGTTTACAAGGCAAAATTAGGAAATGTTTTAAGTGAGATATTGCATTAACTGGAAGACAATTAGGTAAAGTTTTTAGAACTTAGTTCAAAGCAGTAAAAGTTAAAATATTAAGATAATTATCATTACTTGAGAAAAATGGGAATGCTAAATATCAGTATTATATAATAACCATTATTCTTTTCTGGGTTGACTAATTAAGTATGGCAAGGGGTTATTCTTTCCTTTTGTTCAAAATTGGTCATTAAGTATACAGGTTCCAAATCATCAAAAATTATTTAGAAAAATAAAAACATGTTTTATTGTTATTAATAGTATTTTTATTCCAATTGATTAGAGAGTGCGCGAATTTATAAAGTTTGTGCGATTTATTTTATTATATGAGGCAATAAACAGTACCTTTCTTTTTATGAAGAGAAAAGTTAAGAAGGAAGACAAAAATTACATTAACGCTTTTGTTCATGTTTTGCTTTCACTACTTTTAATTTCATTGCTAACTTTATAATACAAATAGATATATTATCTGAGATCATTGATATCAGTAATTCAGTTAATACTCCGGATTCAAAATCTAAACACAAAAATGTAGAAAAAAGAAAATTACTTACCATTCCGATGGAGACGATCCGCAATCATCATCCACGCGCATTCTTTTTTTATTTTATTTTTATATTCCTTAAGTCTGTTATCCCATATAACGGGATGTCGCTGGATTTCAGCAATTAGACTGCAATCGTCGCTCATATCTTCAGCCATGTTGTTTATTGAACTTAGCGCGCAAGCTGCTGATGATGATTTGAAATACTCTCCTGATTGGTCGGTTCCATGTGTCGACTAGCTCCGTTTTGCGTGAAGTTCAGATTTTTTCAACTGGGCCCGTAGTGACGAAAAACTGGTTTTTTCTAGCTGACCGGCTGTGTTGTTTGCGTCGGATGTGTTCGTTAGCTCCGATATGTTCCAGTGTGAACGGCGCTGCATGCGCCGGTTAGCTTCGATAGCGTCGTTGAGTGTCAAGTGTGAATGGGCCTTAAGACCTCGCTTAACGCTGTTTCGGTTTAGCGCTATTTTATTTCAACCCGGGGATTCCAAGAAATCGCTCGCAGCATACGGGGATTCCCCGAAATATTATGCAGCGATAGGTTTCAAATACATATCCGAAAGAGTGTTACTTGTATTTCTTGTTTGGTGCGGTATTGTACAGACATATTTGAAGGGGTAAATGTGGAAGATGTCGAAGAAATAATTCAAGAAGCAGCGGCTAGTCCTTTCTAATGATGAGCTCAAGGAATTAACTGAACAAGAAGAAAACAAAAATGTTGACAGAAGTGATTCAGAAGAAGAGCAAAAAGAACTTTCGATGGCGTTTGTAAAAAGGAGTTTGTCTACCATAACTGAAATAATGGATCAATTCATTGAAAATGATACGAATTATGACAGGAGCTCAAAAGTAAGGCGTGGTGTTAGAGATGCTCTATCCGTTTATGAAGAACTTTTAGAGAACAACGCAAAAGAAAAAGGCAACACAATTAGATGCTTTGTCACAAAAAGGCAGACAACCTGAAAACACGGAAGGCTAACTAAATATGACTGACTTGAATTTTATTTGTTTTTTTTTTTTTTTTTAAGAAATTCTTGTTTACAAGAAGAATCCGTTTTATAATAAGTTTACGTTTTGTATTTATATTTTGTTTTTATTTTTGCAAGAAATAATAATGTGGTATTAATTTGGGCTTTAAGAAATAAATGTTTGGTTTTATTTTTATTAAAAAACATACTTTTTAAATTTAATACCTGACCAATTCCTAGCCATCTTCCCTAACCCCAATATTTACATGTAAAGATAGCCTCGTTTAGCGCTGTTTCGCATTACGCTCTACTTTGATGGAACGTATCCCCCGCGTTAAGCGGGATCTTACTGTAATTAATTTTGTGATATATATGAAACGAAATTACGATCGGTTGTCTTGAAATTTTTGAGTTTATTCCCACCGCCATTATCTTCACGGAAGAGCAGTTTCGCTAGAGTTTTAGGAATCGGTGTAGGTCGTCTTCATTCTAAGTTCAATGCATTGTGAATTCATGGAAATCTATTTTTAATGTCAAGATTCAGTAAATGTTTTCAAGTGCTTTTGACTTCGAAAATTCTGATATTTATATCGCTGTGTTTTTGGCATGTGTAGTAAAAATTTTTGCCCTATTTGCTATATTAAACAGCGAATTACCTGCACTTTCTTGGCGATATAGAGCTATCTGGTTTTATTGCCCCCTGTTGCAACTCAACTCTTGCTGAGATCCGATGGCTGAGTGACGTCATCTCGAACTATGAACTCTCGCTAGAGATCACGAGAACTCGGGACTGAGAAGTCGCACGCTGCGTCGTGCGAACATTTAAACCTTTCATTATGTAAAAATTATGTAACCGTTAACGTCTTCATTAAATATGTTTGTGTTAAGAAAGTTTATCATTTATGGATTATCCCTCTCAAGATTTTGCAGATAGAGTCCCTGAGAAGAATGCATCCAGTGGCCCTGGCCGAACCCATTGGAACAAGGTAAGCAGTTTTGTTTTACCTTGATTAATTAGTTAGAAGTAAGATAAAGAATATAAAATAATAATATTGTGGCGCCCAACGTGGGGCCATTGGGTTGAATTTGAACTGAAATTTAATAGATTTTGCTTAAGCAAAAACATGGATTTAGAAAAATTAAAAAAGAAACGATCTGCTATAAGAGCAGTAGTTACGAGGCTAATAAATAAAATAGAAACAGAAATTGCTAATGAGGGGGATAAAAATGTAATTGAAGAAACGGTTGCTCAGTTAATTAGTAAAGAAGAAGAACTAATCTTAGCGGATAATGGTATTGAAACTTTAATTGATGTAACAAATTTAGAAGATGAGATAATGTCTAGAGAAGAGTATAAAAGTAAAATTATTATTTGGAAATTACGTGCGCGAAAAGATATTTAGATACTAATCCACATAGCGCTAATTCTACTTCATATGGAAATGTCACTGAATCGCAGAACAAAATTAAACTCCCCAAATTGGCACTGGAAACATTTTCGGGAAAGGACGTGTGCAGTTGGCCCGGGTTTTGGGCACGATTTGAGACAGCTGTACACGAAAACGAAAGTCTACATGCCGTAGATAAATTTAACTATTTAAAGTCAATTCTTACTTCCGATGCAGAAACTGCAATACAAGGGTTGACATTAACAGCGGAGAATTACGAGAAGGCTGTGAAAATATTAAAAGATCGCTTCGGACGCAAAGAACTAATAATAGATACCCATATGAACAATTTATTAACTCTGACTCCGGTTAAAAGGTCTGGCGATGTGACAGCACTTCGAAAATTATATGATCGTTGTGAAGTACAAATTAGAGGATTAGAATCGTGTAATATTTTACCGGATTCGTACAGTACCTTATTATATCCGATATTAATAAAGGTGATTCCGAATGATTTAGCACTAGAATTTAATAGGAAATATGAAGATGATAATCAGACAAAAATTACGAATTTGCTCCATTTTCTAAGAAAAGAAATAGAAAGTCGAGAACGTACAGGATTTTTAATTAAGCCAACAGATTCTGAAGTCACTGAAAAGAAATCCCATTTGGAAAATAAGCGGCAGTTTGGAGAACGTTTTCGAGACAGCGAAAGAAATCGGGATTATAATAAGGGTAGAATTCCTTCAGCGGCAGCGTTAAACACATCACTATCTAATAGCTGTTTATTCTGTTCTGAAAATCATACGTCAGAATCATGTCAAAAAACTGTGCCAGAAAAAGGGAAGCGTTAAGGCGAAGGGGATTTTGTTTCAGGTGCCTCAAAGGACGCCATTTAGCGAGGATGTGCAAATCGAAACTAACTTGTGGTATTTGCGATCGGCGACATCATACATTGATACATTCTGACGAAACGAATGCGTCAGACAAGAGTCCCGTCCAAGGGGCAGTAGTCTCTTCTGTTTCCGATTGCGCAACAGCAAATAACTCATTTCTTCTGACAGCACGAGCTGAAATTATAAACACAGGCAATTGGCGCCAGCAAAGCGTTCGCTTGTTGTTTGATTTAGGATCGCAGCGAACATTTATTAGAGAGGACATCTGTAAGAAATTAAAACTTCCCGTTATTGGAGAAGAAAAAATAAAAATATTCTCTTTCGGCTGCACGACGTCTGAAGCGCAGAATGTTAAAAAAACCAGGCTCATTTTGCGTAATTCGAAGAATCGATATGAAATCAAAATAGAAGCTTTAATTATTCCTGTCATTAATGGATCACATATTCATTCCCCTAGAAATGAAATAGTTAATCTTATTAAAAAACAGGGCATACAACTTTCCGATGAATGGGGACCAGGGAATAAACCGCCGAAAATTTCTTTACTGATAGGAGCGGATTTTTATTGGAAAATAGTTACGGGTAAGGTTCACAGACTGTCTAATTCCTTAGTAGCGGTTGAAACAAAATTGGGTTGGACCATTAGTGGAACAGAACGGGCTTACGGAATTTTCCCAAGTAATGTGAATACTATGAAGGTTGTGGTTCATAATAATAAAGATACACAGAATGAATCACTGTCTAGGTTGCTGAAGAATCTCTGGGAGCTCGATTCTATGGGGATAAATTATGATTCGGATAAGGAACTCGAATTAGAAGATAATTTAGTTTTCGATAATTTCAAAAGATCTGTGAAAGTTTGAAAACAATCGTTATATTGTGCGCCTTCCTTGGAATCATAATTCAAATGAGCTTAGGAGATAATCTGGAGATTGCTAAAATTAGATTTAAGAGTTTAAGTCGTAGATTTCAGAATAATCAACAGTTCTATGACAGATATCGCGAAGTAATTGATAGGTACTTAAAAGAAGGAATCGCCGAAGAGACTAACATTGAAATTGGACCAAAAACGTATTTTATGCCGCATCAAGCCGTTATAAGAGAAAACAAGGAAACTACAAAACTCCGTGTGGTTTTTGACGCTTCGTCACATGCGGAGAGAATTGTTTGTCATTAAATGACTGTTTACATTCAGGTCCTAAGATGTGTCCAGACATACTGGAATTGCTCCTTAAGTTCCGTCAAAATCGAATTGCGTTTACAGCTGACATCGAACAAGCATTCTTGCAGATTTCTCTTGCTGATGAAGACAGAAACGCAGTCAAGTTTCTATGGAACGATGGTGAATTAAATGGAACCAAAATAAAGGCTCTTCGTATGACAAGGGTAATTTTTGGAGCAACATCTAGTCCGTTTCTTCTCAGAGCAACTCTTAATGTACATGTTGACAAATACAAGTTACAGTATCCGAACGTATTTTCCATGCTAACTGAAAATATGTATGTTGACGATTTAATCGCTGGAGCAGATGAAGAATCAGAAGCATTCGAGGAATCGGAACATATTTATTAAACGCATACTGAAAGAAGGTGGATTTAACATGCGGAAGTGGAAAACGAATGAAACGAATTTACAAAGGGTATGGAATGAAGAAGATTTTTCACACGATTCGACTTGTTCTAAAGTATTGGGATACATATGGAATAAGTCAAATGATACATTTTTGATAGAAATTGAAGAGTTGGTAAAAGATGCCAAAAGGATAGATAACATACCAACTAAAAGGGAAATCTTGAGATTTGTAGGACGTTTCTTTGATCCACTGGGGTTTTTAAATCCATACACCATGAGATTTGTAGGACGTTTCTTTGATCCACTGGGGTTTTTAAATCCATACACCATTCGAGCTAGGATTTTATTTCAAGATTTATGGGAACAAAAGATAGCATGGGACACTGAAATACCAGAAAATCTCAGAAAGAATTGGCAAAGCTGGTGTGATGAATTAGCTCATATTTTTAGTTTGGAAATACCAAGACATCAGTTTGCAGGTGCTGGGAAAAGGGATATAAAGGATGGTTTACAGTTACACTGTTTCACAGATGCGAGTCAGAAGGCCTATGGGGCTGTTCTGTATTTTTCGTTATTCGAAAAAATGGAGTCATTCATACAAGTTTCATTACATCAAAATCACGAGTAGCACCTTTGAAAAAAATTATCACTTCCCAGATTGGAATTGATGGGTGCTTTGATAGGCTCGCGCTTGTCAAATTACATTCAAAAGAAACTTCGGGACATTGATTTAATTGTATATATGTGGACTGATTCTAGTATAACGTTACATTGGATTAGAAGTGATGTGAAAAGGTGGAAGCCATTCGTTCAGAACAGAGTGAAGGAAATACAGAAGAATTCAGATGTCTTGAACTGGAGATACACGCCTGGTGAACATAATCCAGCTGATTTACTAACTAGAGGTGAAAATGTCAAACATCTGAAGCAGAATAGCATATGGTGGGAAGGGCCCACGTGGTTGAAAGAAGAAATGGAACACTGGCCAAAACCGAATTTATGTCCCACAAAGAACATTGAAGATTCCAACAAGGAACTAAGAAAAACATCAAAGGAAGTTTTCGTAAATTCGTGTGTTACCGAACCTTCCGAAGATTTATTTAAAACCCAAAATTACAGCAATTTACACCGAATTTACCGAATTACTGCTTGGTGCTTAAGGTTCATCAAGCAATATTAAAAATACCTCGAAAATTATCAGGATGTTTGCAGGTTACCTTACCGAATTGGAAATGGCAGAAACTTATTGGATCAAACGTGTTCGGGAGCGAAATTTTACAAATGAAGTACGGGCATCGAAGAACAACGATGAATTAAGTTCAGAATCAAAACTAAGGTCCCTCAATCCATTTGTAGACGAAAGTGGTGTAATTCGTGTTGGTGGACGATTAGAAAATTCAAATTTGGATTACAAACAAGCACATCCAATCGTGTTGCCCGACAAAGATCACTTGACTGATCTAATTATTCTTCACAGTCATCAGGTGGTAGGGCACGGAGGAATAGCAGATACTTTAAATCAGATAAGAGACAAATTTTGGTTGCTGAAGGCTCGTCGAAAAATTAAAAGTGTTCTGCACAATTGCAATGTCTGCAAGATATTTCGAACTAAACCTGTCATGCAAGATATGGTACCTCTCCCACCAGACAGATGCCGAGAAGCGTTTCCGTTTGAAAACTCCGGGATAGATTACGCGGGTCCACTGTACGTGAAAAGTGTAAAAGAATTATCTAAGACATACGTTTGCTGTTTACCTGTGCTGTAACCAGAGCCGTGCATTTAGAACTTACGGCTGACCTTTCCACAGAAAAATTTTTGCTTGCATTTAGACGGTTCATAGCGAGAAGAGGTTTGTGCCGAATAGTGTACACCGATAACGCCAAAACCTTTAAAAGAGCGAAAAAAAAATTAGAGCTATTGAACGAGGTGATGAAAAGCAATAAAGTTCAAGACGAGTTCTCTAAGCAAGGAATCAAATGGAAATTTATAGTTGAGAGGGCGGCATGGTGGGTAGGCTTTTGGGAGCATATGGTTCAGTCTCTTAAAGCTCTTCTGAAGAGAATCTTAGGAAAATCATCCTTGACGTTCAGGGAATTAGAGACAGTCATAACAGAAGTGGAAGCTATATTGAACTCCAGACCTTTAACATTTACATACTCGGATCTAGGAGAGCCAGAATCTTTGACCCCTGGTCACTTCTTAATAGGAAGACGGTTACTGTCATTGCCGCAAGGAAGCTCTAAATTAACTTCAACAAAGGAGAGTCTTACACGTCGATTTAGACATCAACAGATACTGGTAGAAAGAATCTGGCGAAAATGGAGGCAGGATTATTTGATGAATTTAAAATCTGCTCATCATTCCAAACTGGCGAAAACAGGAACCTGTTTGAAGAAAGGAACTATTGTATTAGTGCATGAAGATAAAATTCCAAGGCTGATGTGGAAGATGGGCATCATAATGGAAATCTTTCCTGGAAGAGATGGCAAGGTGAGAGCCTGTGCTGTCCGCTTGCCCAATGGACATACGATTAAAAGACCAGTGCAATTACTATATCCGGTGGAGCTGGAATGTAATAAGGACAATTACGGCAATTGTCCTTCCGGGCGGGAGGATGTTGCAACTCAACTCTTGCTGAGATCCGATGGCTGAGTGACGTCATCTCGAAACTATGAACTCTCGCTAGAGATCACGAGAACTCGGGACTGAGAAGTCGCACGCTGCGTCGTGCCGAACATTTAACCTTTTCATTATGTAAAATATTCTGTAACCGTTTAACGTCTTCATTAAAATATTGTTTGTGTAAAGAAAGTATTTATCATTTATGGATTATCCCTCTCAAAGATTTTACAGATAGAGATCCCTGAGAAGACATCAATTTGCAATCCAGTGGCCCTGGCCGAACCCATTGGGAACAAGGTAAGCAGTTTTGTTTTACCTTGATTAATTAGTTAGAAGTAAGATAAAGAATATAAAATAATAATACCCCCTTTTCCTTTCACTGTGTACTGTTAAAGAATTAATAAAAATCACGTTCTTGCTATGATTTGAATCTTTCAGTTGATAGAATAAGAATAGAAAAGAACAAAGACGTGTAAAGCATAGCATCGTAAAAATCTCTCAGAGCAATTTTACGCATGGACATTTTTCTAAAAATCTCAGGATTTTGCGAATTTCTTTCGATTACACAAATGCAGGCAGTGTTGCAGATATGCATGCATGTTTCTAAATACTATAATTCTCAGCGTATAAAAGAAGTGGTGTTAGCTCGACATCAACATCGAATGGAGAAGATAAAATTCGTAAATTTGCTTCTCAGTTTTTAAAATCACTGAACCTATAGGGTTGAATCCTTGACTCAAAGATTTCGGCTTATCCGCAAATGATTCGAATCAAAATCATTTTTGTGATTCTTAAGTATGGGATACTGGTAAGTATTACTTTCCCTTAACTGATTTTCCCAGAATCGAAGCTTATTCTGAAATGATTTGGTATGTCCATAAAACGTATTAATCAACTATTCCTGAGTTTGTAATTTAGTATTGAGTTCATTGAGCTATGTTGTAATGTCGACAAGAAATGCAAGATAACGCAGACAGGGTGTGCTTTCTAGTTCCTGATTAAATTTTTCCTTCCTATCCATGTAACGAGATACCTTATCTTTCAAGTCATAAAAACGCTTCAACATCTTTTCCTTAATTAGGCAACCCACTTCGCAGTAAAATGTGAGGTCTCCATGCTCGGAATGAACGTGAACAGAAGTTCTTGAAACTGATGGTAGTTTAGAACCCTCAACTTGATATGCAGGAAGTTATAATGCTCATCACATGCGTAAATGGGATTGATTTTGCAACACAAGTGAAATACTGAAAATTTTTTTTATATCCATTTTGTTTATCAGATAACTCTGATTTTATTCGGACAACAACTCTTACGTTTGATTCTATCATTCATGGGGTCCCATCGGTTGATATTCTGCTTAAATTTTCCCACATTAGGTAAAATATAGTATTTTTGTCTTCCTGTAAAATATATTTACCCCTTGTTGCATACTTCATTGATTGGAGAGCAATTTTTCCGTACAATTGAAGCTGGCATCATCTCCACGGATAAATATAGCCAACTGAGTGGTATCAGTGGTGTCTATGCTGTCACCAAGAGCAATGGAAAATGTTTCATCTTCTGATGCGATAAATTTAATTTATGTCACTGGCCATTTGATCAATTCGTTGGGCTACTGTCTAACAAGAAAGACTTATCTTTTCTATTTCTTTGCTTTTCTCAGGAACAATGTTGCCTAAACAATGTTGTCAGCATTATGATAGCGGAGCAGCATCTGTTGTTTTCAAATTTTACGTCTTATCTATTCTCAGCTTACCTGTTTAACTGTTGTAATTAGTGTATTTCGTATTGTAATGTCTTCTTAAGTTGTAATTAGTGTATTTCGTATTGTAATGTCTTCTAAGTTGTTATACTTCAAAAACGAAATAGTTTCAAATTTCGTGTCAATCAAACTGACAGTAAAAGGCACCACTTACGACGCAATTCCTACGGAAGCAAAAAACAAATTAAAAAAAAAAAGAGGTGAAAATAAGAATAACAGTTTTAAGAAATGGATAAAAAACGGTGAAAATAAAAATGTTTGCTAAATTATTCAGTAAAACTACGAGTGTTTATTGTTAAAGTTTAAACAGTTAATGAACCAGATTCAATGATGACTAAAAAAGTCATCGCGGGCCGTATAAAATCAGGACGCGAGCTCTGTCTTGCATACGCCTGCTCTATACGCTTACAAGTATCCACGCCTTCTCTGGGATTCGAGCCCACACGCATATTCACAAAGCCTACAGACCATTTCTACTAAGGTCTGCTCTCATTGGATGAAACATCTGCTTGTCGGTCATATTTAAAATAGCGAGTTATCGCTTTGTAGGCGTGGTAATTAACGCCAAACAAACGGAAACAGCGTTTATTTCATTCGAATTTTTTTATTTTATGAATGAAAGCTAAGGGGAATTGTGTGGAATATATTTTAAATAACCTACTGATCTTATTAATAGTTTATTTGTATTTGAATTTAAACTGTTAAAAATGCGATAATTGTTTTGAAGGAAAATATGTTTACATTTAATATTTACAATCAATACAATCAATCAATTCAATAAACATTTAAAGGGCGTCGGATACCTATTCTTTTAGCCTAAATTATGAGTAAGTATAACTAAAATTATATTTTATTCCATAATGCGCTGTTTCTATTGAAACGCTTTTCGGGATCTTGGATCATATTCTTGCTACTGGTGCCTACTACAAAGAGTACAAACCAGTAGATAAAAATTAAAAAAAAAATAGCATTAACAAAATTACAGAAAATGAAAGTGTTAAATTTTTAACACCTCACCCGAAAGCAAAAAGACCAATAATGACAAAGTCATTCAATAAAGTGAGGATAAAAACAAATCCGTCCACGGTAGAGCTCGTAAAATTTCACGAGCGGGGATAGGACCGGCGATCTAGAAGTCCGAGAAATTTGTTCATCCTCGTTACCGTTGAGCTGCGGTTTCACCGTTGGCTTTCGCACACTTTACGGTACACGAGGCTGCTATAAAAGTAGTATAGGCGATGAAGCAAAAGTCGCCAAGTACAAGATTCTGTAACCCTACGTTTCCTGTTTTAACCAATCGGAGCAAACAGTAGAAGAAACGGTCTGTAGGCTTTGTGAATATGCATCCCCGCACCCATCGGTACGGCAGTCAATCGGCTGGGCGGCCTGTTGCTGGGATAAATCTTAAAGAATGAATCACTGACAATAATAAATAAAATAAGAGTACCCAATGTATAGCCCGTGCAAATATAATAAGCTTAATGCTGTTTGCAAGTGATTTTTTGAATTAATTTTCTTGCGGCATGGTACGCAAAATTAAAAAAGAAATTCTTCCGAACAAGATTCTGTTCTAATAAATCTTGAGGCCATGAACATGTGAGGCTACTCAATAGTGATTGGTTTCCCTTTCTCTCTTTTTAAAGGGGCACAGCACCTTTAAGCATTCAGAAAATCAATTTTTGTTTTTTATTTATTCTGATTCTATTAACATTTCTGAGCACTATGCAAAAAACCGCATTGAAAAATTCCTATTATTTCTCTAGTTATGACCATTTATGCAAACCCTTATGCAAAAGACAATCTGATAAAAGGACAGCCATTGCCATTTAAAGGGGCGGACACGCCCACGTGACTGTTTACGTTCCATTTCTGCAGCTGCGATATTTGTTTCCTTTCGAATGTTTTCTTTATGATTGCTGCCTCACAATTTTTTATTTTCCCTCCTCTTTTGAGAAGCAGGAAGGTAACTACTCATCTTTATATCTTCGTTTCCGTTAGCTGTTTGTTTACCTCGTGTTAGAATTACGCATTATTGTTTTCTTTCAATTTTGAAAGTTTGAATTGCCGTTTTCACAAAACAAAACTCCTTTTTAAAAGCAAAATGAATGCTGTTAATGCTAAAAGGGCATCTGGTCAAAGACCAAAAAGACAGAAGAGGCATCAGTATTATGGAAATCAACATACAAAGCGTGAGTGTGTTGACATAGACCTAAACATTTCTGCATCAGCAAGAAAGATCGGTAACGATTCATCTGCATCAGCTGTGGATAACATGAATGATAATTTTGATGATTATGCTATTATCGATAAAAAAATGTTATTTTCAGCATTAGAACAATGTTTATGTTGTTCGATATGCCATAATAAAATACATATAAACT